TGGTAAATGTCTGTTTTTTCTATATATATGTAAGACAAATGAATTATGTATGTATGTGTATATATATACACACACACATATATATATATAAGCCAGTACAGTGGTTAATGGCATTAGTAAATTATTCATCAGCTTGTCCTCTTTATGACGTTGACTGTGGTTTTGTCTAGCAAAGTAAAACATTCCTTGTTGTCTGCTGAGACTCTTAATAATCTGAGTTCCAAGTCCAGTTGGAAGTAGGTGTTTCCATTGTAGACTAACATTAGGAACTGAATTCATGTTTTACCCACTATTTGTATATATACATACATGTAAATATATATATATATATTTAAATTCAAGCTTAAAAGTGCAAACAGTAAATAACTACAGTAGATAGAAAAATAAATAGTGTGAAATACAGATGATCTAGGCAAAGAGAAAGTAGAGTTGCAAAACATGACAGCTATCAAATACACAAAAAGGGAGTCTATAAAGTATAACTAACTATAAGTTTGCTTGAACTATTGAAGACAGTTACTCTAAAAGTAGTAAATGTCTATGTAGTTATATTAATTCAAGTTAAAAATCATATAACATTATAAGTAGGTTGTCTAGAGCACTTAAAAAATTACAACTGTACATGTAAATACAATACTGTTCAGTTTGGCTTTATGCTGACAAAAAAAAAGAATATGTATTACTTTGGTGTGTCATAAAAAATGCCAACTATGAATGAAACTAAAAATAAAAACGATTGGTTTCTATTAGGCCTCCTGTAATGGTATGATGTTGTTTATTTTCTATATATGAATTATGATTTTGCATGGATATTTAAATAAAGGAAAGAGGTTTTTATAAAAAAAAACATTTTTGCTGATAGGCAAAAAAGTCTTGCAAAATTCTAATCTCTCTCTCTAGCAAAATTTTTAGGTTCAAGTTATGGTGCAGAAGTTTATCCTTGTGCATGATTATGACTTTAGTGAACAGTTTTGGTAACTTTTTGAGGTTGAAATCATTACTGATTGATGTGATAACACTGTTCATATTAAGGCAGGAAAGCTTGGTTCCTGAAAACAAAATTAAATTATATTTTCATGGTTATTTAAATAAATGTTTATAAACTTGCTTGTGTACATTTCTACTTTCAAGTACTCCTGTATGACTGGTGTATTTTCATAATTCAGACAGTCAATTGTTTTTAAAAAGCCTTCAATACATAGATAAAAAAAAAACATAAGAAATACTCAAGCACAACTGAAAAATAATTGAAGGCAAAAGAAAATAATTATTATTGGGTTGAGCAGTACAAGAAAAATTAACCAAAAATCTGGTGTGTCCAATAGAAACAAGTAAACAAACATTCTGAAATTAGTAGTGTTCTTTAAGTAATCATTTTCTAACTTTAGCTGCCACTTCACCAAGAAGGATCCTCTAAATATTAGAGCTGTTCTCCCATTAATTGTTTATTTAATGTTTCTTTTCTGACATTTTGTAATTTCCTTGTACCATCTACCATTCTCTTTATCTGATAGTTACATATAGTCAAACTCTGTTGTTTCTAGTAGCATGTTTTATACAGTGACAACACATGTATGGCATTTCATTGACAATACTGTATCTGATGGAATGAAGTATTTTTTACTTATGGTTATTGTTTGCTGTCCCATTTTAATAACTTGATCTGATGAGTTAATGATGTTGTTTTTGTTGTTTTTTTCATATTTTTTCCCTAAGCTACAGCTAATCATAAAATTTTATAGTTGCCAAGTCTGTAAAACATATTTCTGTAATTATACAATTAAGTTTACTGTACTTATGTTTTTCAAGGTTTTGCTAGATAAAAAAAAATCCACATTCTCTATAGTTTGTTTATGTATAACAAAAACATTGTCAGTATGAAAATATGCAAAGTTATAAAAAGAGCCCAGTCATTAAAAGTGGAGATATAAGACACACAAGCCAATTTAGACAAAACAGCTGACACAACCTTATAGTCTATTATTACTTTTATTATAGTATATTACAAGGTTACCTCAATTGTTTCTTCTCACTTGGCTTGTGTGTCTGATATCTCTGCTTTATATGACTGGGCTCTTTTTGTAGCTTTGTGTTTTTTCACATTGACATAGTTTTTGTTATAGATATCACTCCTTTTTTCACACGTGTATAGTACATACAGTGCTACCTGAACTATACATTTATGTGACAATTTTTGGCTGTTGTCTGCCAAACACTAGATTAGCCGATGATTAGATATATATTTTGTGTGTAGCTGCTATTCTGCCCAGATAGCCACATCATGCACCTGGTGAGGTCCATGTTCAGAAACATGTACTTTGTATGCAGCCTCGTGGTTAAGGCCACAAAGTGATATACAGGGCATTGTAGGTTTGATTCTACTTCAGGATACACAGTTTTATATATTGAGTAAATAGTTTAAATTATATAAACATCACAGTAAAAACATTTCCTGGTTTATTCTGTTGTTGATGAATAAGTGAATTGTCGTGGAAGTTTGGATGCCATTTAATATAGATATGGTGTTTCAAAAGTCAGTGTATTTGTTGGAAAATATGGCAGAAAAAGTAGAAGTACATTTTTATCTTGCATTAGCAACTTATTTCTTTTACTGTATGACATATGTTGAATTTTTTTTTCATCTTTGACCTTAGATTGTTTCAAAATGCAAACTAAGAGTGGAATATTGGTTTTGGCTGATTTGGTTTAGGTGTGGCAATACCCCCAGAAAGAGCAAAATTATAATTGTGCTCTGTAGAGAATCACTGATAGGTTTCTGCTAACTTTTTTATATAAATTGATTATTGGAACTTGTTCCTCTTGATATTAACTTTCATAAGATATCTATACATACATAAACATTTTATTAATGGGGAGAGGATTTTTAATAAAGATTAAGTTTTTCTCTTAAAAGTGACCATTTTTAAAAGATACCTTTGATCCTACTTTTTTTTTTTAAAAGAAGGTTCATTCCTTTGAAAAGTCATTATAAAATATAAATACGTAGCTTGTACCATATTTGTTATAAAGTAGGATAATTATCTTTATACCAGTTAAAAATCATTTAGGTCATTCTTAATATTCTGATATTCCAGGGTTCATAATGTTGTCAACAAAAATAAATTTAAAAAAACATTTTATGTACGTTGATCTCTCGATTTCACTGTGATGGTTGACTATATGATATTTTTAATTTCATGTTTATGTTAATCAACAGTTATATAATTTTATATTGGATTATGTTTTAATTTTTTCATAATATGTATACTTTGTCCAAACAACTTATGCTGGAGAAAAATATGTAATTTATTCATTTATATTTATATGTGTAGATCTTCAACAGTCTTACTTTTAATTTGTTTCACCATAAGTTTGTAATAACAATCACAGGACAGTGCACGTGCAGATCATTATACAAATCTATTGGAAAACATAGGTCCTGATGATCTTTATGAAAAGATGATCTCACTTGCACATGGGTTGTAGAGTTTTCCATTCTTAGCATAGTCTAACTATAAAACTCATGCATAAATACTACCTTAACATTATTCTCTTTCTTACAAGATTGGGTTGTGATGCTCAAAACAGAAACATACATGTTCCATAAATAGGATATACTTTATTTTTTCTTTAATTTTACTTTTATTAACAGTATTGGTTAGAATGTTTAATATATCTATTTCTAGTATTTAAATTTTGTATTAATATATTTTTAATATAATATCATTTTGCATTGTTAGCTAAGTATATGGATTTATGAATCTTTTAAACATTGAAATATATGTTATCACCTGAAAATGATTACTATCATTAAATCAATTAGCAGTTATCTTTTAGACAAAATCACATGTGATAAAGTAGGCTTTTCCAAATCTGTTAACATTATAATCAAAATATTTACTAATGTAATGTGAAAACTTCCATATGTGTTAGTTAATGATATAGGAATAATATGGAAATATTTCTTACAAAACAGCTATCAAAATAGTTTGTGTGTACTTCCTAGCAGCTTGTTGTTTTAGTGTTCCTTCAAAATTTCATTAGACCCAAATCTTAAACAACTGAAAAACCTTTATTTGATAACAGGTTTCAGTATTTATTTATTCATTAATGATTTGATGTGCTGTTTGTAGAGGTAACCTATTTTTATGTAGTTAATAGCTAGAATTATTAAAGCTAAGTCTGAACTCAGTATTATGTGTAGATTAAAAATGTTTAAAGTTATATCAATAGATTTTTGGTAAGAGTTTTCATTAAAGAACTTTCCGCTAGTATCTGCATCATAAAGCTTCTGGGTCAGTGTTGTTAAGTTCTTCTGTAGGGAAGGTCTGCAAGACTGGTTTTTTCTTTACAATAATCCTTTTATTTTTAATAACAAACCTAACAAGATTCTAAATAGATAAAGTAGTTATTGTATATAACTTAAAAACTTGAGACAGTATTAAATTTAGATATTCACTAACTACTTAAATGAAACCAAGTACGCATGCTGCTATTTACTACTGTAATTACACTCAGTTTAATTGCCACTTATGCATTAAAACATTATTGTAAACAATAACATTATTTTACTTAAAGTTTTTTATATGGTACAATTTTACAAACTGTGCAGTCAATAAAGTAGTCAATTGATGTTTCTAAATACCATATGTTTTAATCATTTTACAGACCAATAAAAGTAATCCAAAACTCCTAGATATTATTAATGTATTTCAGTTTCTTTACTAATTAGTCGAAATTTACATTTCTAAATGCCATTGATAAGTATCAGTTATTTTAAAAATCATAGTTATAGCATATTCATGCCTCTAAATGCCATTGATATCTTATTTTATATAAAAAAATGTTAATAAGATTAATGCCATTGAATTTTTAGAAATCCTATACTTTTAAAAAAACTGACTCAAGTAAATATATTTTGCTATAAGACGTTTTGTAAAAAACTTTATAGAGTTAGTAACTTTGTGTCAACCCCTGTATATTTATTTCCTTTGTTTTAGGCTTTTGTTATGGAGACACCCGTGTTGAAAGTTCCTGGGGACATTACTTTATTCCTCCAAGCAGGGTTGGTGAAAGATATTGTTACTGTAGATATCAGTGAACTAAACCTGAAGACTCTCAAAGATGTGGCATGTAACTTTATTGATAGGAAGGTTGGTTGACTGTTTCTATTATACAGTTTGTTTTATCAGATCATAGATAGTTATAATGTGAAATGATAAGTAAGTTGCGAGCAGTTTTGTCAGAGAGAACATAAAAATTGTAGAATTTTATACATTTACTTTGTTTAGCACATGAAAGTTTTGAAAGGCATCTATCAGTTTAATCAGGAAACAGACATTACCTAATAATAATCGTAAGACTAATTCAAAAAATATAGTATTAAAATTTCATCTTATAGGCCATTAATACAAACAGAAATAACTTATTTATTATGTATTCATAATTAGAGTAGATTTTGCATTAATTTAAGTGTTACTTTTAAGTTTAGCAAAATACAAATTAAATTGTATATGATAGTTAGTTTAATTCGAATAAAATGTAGAAATTAAACCAAAACTAAATATTATTTTGAAAAAGTAAAATACATAATTCTTAATGTAGAAGCAAGGGTATAGAAATATAAATGATATATTTGTAATTGAAAATAAAATAATGATAAGCAGTTAAACAATACAACAGAAAACCAGTGTCTGATATTGCACTCACTTTCCCAATTAAAATTACACATTATTTATTTGGTATGTCTGTGTGTATGTATGTATGTATATATTATACTTTTAAATTGTGTAGCTCATGTCCATGTAACTGTATTAAAGTACAAGTAAGTTTTTTACAATTTAGCTGAGTCATTTTTATGAACTTATGCTTCTTGTTTTGTTTTCCTTAAGAAGCAAAATCAGATAACAATCTCTGGCATACTTTCCAGTTCCTTTCAACTTTTTTTTCACCAATGTTACATAATGTACATGTAGATTTGCTGAATAGAGTATTGACGAATCGGATGTTACTGTGAGATTAGAGAGGAACCAAACCTGTTAGTGCGTAATCCAGAGAGCTTCTTAAATGTAACAGACAATAGAATTTAAAGATGAATAAGTAATGATATAATGTAGTTCACTATTTTTTCTGAGCTTATCAACATTGTTATAAAACAGTTTTTGTTTTCAAGCATGTGTTTAAAACATACAAAATAAGAGCTATGACATGAGATGATATCTCTACATTTGTTTTGAAATTTAAGATCTAAAAAATTATATTGTTGTATATACTAACATTAGCGTTTGCCTTATATAAATATAGATATCTGTGTGCAACAGACCCTTTTCCTGTGTATGGTTAAAAGTAAAATGTTCTGATTGTTAAAACACAACAAGAATTAAATGTGTAAATTATATATGTATATACAGAAACACATGTATGTATATTTATCCATAAATAATCAAACACGGAAATGTGTTGCTGCATATTAATGTTGTATTTATTTTTAGAAAGAGCTTTCATAAATTAAAATCAAAAGTTAGAATTTGTTGACTAAAACAAGTTCAAAATAAGTCTTATAGTTATAATATACTTAACCCACATTTTAGTATAACAGTGTATGTGTGTGTGTAAAAGATATATATATATATATATATAAAAAACCAAAATTTTTAGTGTAAATTCAAAACAAACTAATACTCATAAGAAGTTTTGACTTTATAAATTTCATAAATTACAATTGAAATAAACCTTAAAAAAATTATACAATTTCTCAACAAAGTACAAAAAATATAATTTTATAAATTAAAACTTTTCTGTACTTTAGGGTTTCAAAAATATATTTAAGTTATCTTTAAAGACGTATCTTAGGCAGGACATGTTGTGAATTTGTAAAAGTATGTAATTTATAAAGGCATTTTCAGCAGTTTTGTAGGTGTAACTAAGATAATATGTAAACTTGATTTGTCTGGTTTTAAATATATGTTAAAAAAAGAACCAAGAAATATACACCAAGTTAGAATAGTGATATCCACTGTTATGAGTATTTTTGAACTGGCTTATCATTAATTAAAGAAGGCAATGGCATGTATAATTAAACCACTGTAATCTACTAAGTTAAAAATTATTTTAATTAATAATTTTTAATGTATATATACAGGGTGTCCCAAAAAAATGTATACACATTTTGAATGATTATAAATAGAATGTTTATTAAGATATGTTTGAGTTTTATAATCCAAGTTAAAGAAGACAAGTGTAGAATATTTTGAGTTATCGTGAAATGATTCGTGATGTTTGCAATTCCATCTGTCATCGTTATCAGCAGTGCCTGGACCAGAACGGTCATCAGTTCGAACACCTGTTTGGTATTTTGGCACATTCTCTTTCAATTGCTGCTTTCAACTCGTTGATTGTTGCAGGTTTTGTGCTATAAACCTTATCTTTGAGGTATCCCCATAAAAAAAAGTCTAGGTGTGTAAGGTCTGGTGAACTGGGGGGAATTCAATGCTACCTCTTCTCCCAATCCATCTGTTCGTCTGAGTTTCGTCAAGATAGGCCCTCACATCACGATGGTAGTGGGGAGGTGCTCCATCTTGCTGGAAATAAAACTCCTCATCTCCAAATTGCTCTCGAATGCGTGGCATGACGGATTCCTGCAGCAAGTTCAGATAAACAGCACCAGTGACTGTGTTTTCGAAACAAAATGGACATCTTAAACAGTTCCATCTGCTCCAAACTTATCTCTGATGCGAGTAATGGTGAGTCGTGTAAGTGGATCTGTTGGAAACTCCCTTCTAAACAGTCTCTGCATTTCAGCTACGTTCTCACACTTCCAATAGCACTTTAGGACAAATTTCCTTTTCTCAAAGCCTAGTCTTGCTTCTGCCATTACTTCAAAAAGCTTAGTCTTGCTTCTGCCATTACTTCAGAAAGCTTAGTCTTGCTTCTGCCATTACTTCAAAAAGATTAGACTTGCTTCTGCCATTACTTCAAAAAGCCTAGTCTTGCTTCTGCCATTACTTCAAAAAGCTTAGTCTTGCTTCTGCCATTACTTCAAAAAGCTTAGTCTTGCTTCTGCCATTACTTCAAAAAGCTTAGTCTTGCTTCTGCCATTACTTCAAAAACCTAGTCTTGCTTCTGCCATTACTTCAAAAAGTATAGTCTTGCTTCTGCCATTACTTCAAAAAGCTTAGTCTTGCTTCTGCCATTACTTCAAAAAGCCTAGTCTTGCTTCTGCCATTACTTCAAAAAGCTTAATCTTGCTTCTGCCATTACTTCAAAAAGCCTAGTCTTGCTTCTGCCATTACTTCAAAAAGCTTAATCTTGCTTCTTCCATTACTTCAAAAAGCTTAGTCTTGCTTCTGCCATTACTTCAAATCAGTTGCACCTGTAAAGAAAGAAAGTTTAAGTGAGTTATGGACTCTAAAATATTCTACACTTGTCTTCTTTAACTTGAATTGTAAAACTTAGATATATCTTAATAAACATTGTATCGTTAATCATTACAAGTGTGTATACATGTTTTGGGACACCCTGTATATACATGCACATAAAGGTCGAGCTTACATATAAATGAGTAAATGTTATATACATATGTAAAGGTTGCTTTTATATGTATTTACTTTATTTTCAATAAGCTGGCATATAATGGCTACATAACTATTAGAAATGTAATATTTTATTACACACGTTATACTATGTTAATTGAGAGTTGACCTCGGTTCGGTTTATCAGTTCTAAAATAACAAACAGTTTTGTTCACAGTTCAGTTTATGAGTTCGTAAACAACAAACAGCGTGTTGGTTTTGTTTACAGTTCAGTTCATGGGTTCTTAAACAACAAACAGCGTGTTGGTTTTGTTTACAGTTCTTAAATAACAGACAGTGTGTTGGTCTTGTTTACAGTTCAGTTTGTCAGTTCTTAAATAAAAAAATATTATGTTAGTCTTGTTTACAGTTCAGTTTATCAATTCGTAAATAACAAACAGCGTGTTGGTTTTGTTTACAGTTCTTAAATAACAGACAGTGTGTTAGTTTTGTTTAAAGTTCTTAAATAACAAACAGTGAGTTGGTCTTGTTTACAGTTTAGATTACAGTTCTTAAAAACAAACAGTGTGTTGGTTTCGTTTACAGTTCAGTTTATCAGTTCTTAAATAACAAACATTGTGTTGGTCTTGTTTACAGTTCAGTTTAGCAATTCTCAAATAACAAACAGCGTGTTGGTTTTGTTTACAGTTCTTAAATAACAGACAGTGTGTTGGTTTTGTTTAAAGTCCTTATATAACAAACAGTGAGTTGGTCTTGTTTACAGTTTAGTTTATCAGTTCTTAAATAACTATTAGTGTGTTGGTCTTGTTTACAGTTCAGTTTATCAGTTCTTAAATAACAGGCAGTGTGTTGGTCTTGTTTACCGTTCAGTTTATCAGTTCTTAAATAAAAAACAGCGTGTTGGTTTTTTTTACAGTTCTTAAATAACAGACAGTGTGTTGGTTTTGTTTAAAGTTCTTATATAACAAACAGTGAGTTGGTCTTGTTTACAGTTTAGTTTATCAGTTCTTAAATAACAAATAGTGTGTTGGTCTTGTTTACAGTACAGTTTAGCAGTTATTAAATAAAAAAAAACATTATTTTGGTCTTGTTTACAGTTCAGTTTAGCAGTTCTTAAATAACAAATAGTGTGTTGGTCTTG